GGATGCATTTTATTTTGAAAAGTAAGAGTGGAAAAAAGAGGTTGAATATGCAGAGAGAAGAGGGAGAATGGCTGAAAGTGGAAGAGCTGCCTGTTTGATAAATATGGCCAATGGGAGCGTTCAGTTACTTTTGTGCGAGTCAGCACTGAGTACTGCAGTTTCTCAGTGATCATAAAACCAATCTGAAATGGAAAAGAGAGTATATCCTCACCAAAGCATGTGCTTGAACAAATCTGGAATATTTCAGGCTTCTGTGTCTATAACAAAATTTTGTCACGGGAGTTTCATGATCAGACAAGTGCCTCAGAGCGTAAAGGCCTGCCTTGCACACTGGCTTCATGTTTGCCACTTCAGTGCCTTTGGCCTGGGATTCAGGACTATGTGAACATGAACCGAAGAAGTCATTAAAGTATATATTCTTTAATAGTATGCCTTCTCTTACAGTAGTATGGGAGTAACTAGGATGAATCAAGGTAAACCTCAAACATCTCAAAAGAGTACTATTGACCTTAGAGGCTACTACTGTAAGGGCTGTACGATGTGTTTTAATGTGGAGCGTACTGGAAAATGAAAACTTTGGATTTGATTTTGGTAGGGGTTTTCTTTTGGGTTTTTTCCCCCTCGAAGAACAGTCATGACTATTGATCTTCAAAAGGCTTTTTGTGAAATAGGAATCCACTTTTTGCTTAAAAAGTTTCTTATCTGATTTATGACTGTATATTTTCAGGCAAAGGCAGTTCTTCAAAGTGCTACCTATATCTATTTTTGTCACATTTTGAGTCACGCTGCTTTTCATGAGCCTACTAATGAAAAGTGCCTACAAAAAAGCCAATATTCCCTCTTCCCTCCCTTTAGGAAGACATAAGAAAGTCAAGTCTCTAAACCCTAATCCTATAATCATACTACATTTCTCTAGGGCAAACAATTTCTGGTTCATTTTGTTGACTTGAGTTTTCTCTTCATCAGTTATACCAAGTGTAAATCACGTTGTTTGCTTAGTGGAAGCTTTCTTGTCCCCCAGTTGCATACTGCTTGCTGAGGATCTCTTCTGATCCTGTCACTGCATGTAACATAAGTGGGTGTAAAGGTCACATTTATCACTTTGAAATGCCAATCTTGAACGTTAATTTTGCAGTTTCACATTTGAAGTGGTTTAGAGTTAGACATCCAACTGATTTCATGTAAGAACAGAATGGACTAATGCTAAATTTAGCACACTTAGACACTCAGGGTTGCACCAGGTCATCATGTATGTGACTTACCAGCTCACAGTGTATGTGACTTCTAGTTGCTGGAGCTGCTTTGTGTAGGTTTTGTTTGTTTCTTTTTTTTTTTTTTTTACACATATAATCCTGTAAAAATCTGAATTCACATTAACATTGACAGATGAAAGATATATGTATTGAGATTGTCTTATACAAGATAATTGACAGTTATCAATCAATCATGAATGGATATGTTATCTCCATTCTATTTTCCTTGGTGGAAGGGGGTCCTAAATACTTTCAATAGTGGAATACAAAGGAAGAGATTGTGTTTCATATTAAGCCAAGCTCTTTTTAAAAAAATGTAATTCATGTATTTATGTAAAAAATCTATAATCCTCTTTTTATCAGTGTAGTGCAAATCTGTTACTATTTTATATATAAATTATAATTAAGTGCTATATCAAATATGCAACACAAAATACTAAGATCAAGGAAGTTGTTGTAATAAACCTAAATCACACTGCTGCAAATTGAGAGTGTATGATTTTGGAACAGTAAACTGTTTCACAGCTACCTGCTCCGTACAGAGATAACTGGATGCAGTATTAATGCTTTATCTAGATTAATTGAAGTGGATGGGTACTACTGATAGGAGTACAGGATACTACTGAAGTTTCTCTGAGCTGTCTGCCAAAAATATAATGTTGCATCTGAGTTCTGTTATCAATTCTAAGCTGCCATGGAAGTGCATTTAAATAAGTGTTTCAGACCTGATAGTGGCAAGAGCCATTTTCCAGGTATAACTTCTTTTGGAGATGTACAGCTAATGCCTGTTGAAAACTTCCAAGGTAGATTGAAGCAATATTCTGAACCAAAAAATGCAGCAGATTGCATCAAGGGGAAAGGTAGTCACTGTGTTGGCCTTTTTTTTTTATTATTTTTAATGTATTTTTACGTGTAAAAACTGAGTTATTAGCTTGAGAATGACAAAGCAAAATAAAATACTATCAGTTTTGTAAAGTGAATGTGCTTGTAGGTCACTGGCACCACCTTGTGATAAAAGTGATGTATGGCAGTCTTTGTCATCGGATGCTTTTCGCCGTTTATTGGTCGTAATATAAATATGTACAGCAGAGAGCTAACCTATAACCAGAATTTTTTTACTTTTCTATGTATTTCAGTTCTGATGAAGTTAATTGATTTGCAATACCCTATGCATTAAAATGATAATTTCAGTATACTGTTTTGTTGTGCTTTTTTTTTCAGCATTTTCTGTGTAATGCTAAATGCTGCCTTTCTGATTCCTGTGGTGACATTTATAACAAGTATCATCAGATATGAGGAAAAATGCCTTTTCATTTAGTGGTTATGACTCTGCAGTGTGTGTTTTGTTTTATAAAGCATCATATACTGGCTTTTAGCAAGAAGATATTCTGAAACTGGACAGTTTTAGCTATCGCTGTTTCATGCTCTGTGCTACGTTACAGTTGTCCCATGCGTGCCATTTCATACAATTATTATCAGGTTTTCCAAAAAATTTTTCAGAACAGCATCTACATTTTAATTGGAGAGGCATGGAGATTTGGTTATTTGTACTTTTCAAATACATTATCCTATTCCATCCTTCAGTTTCTTTACATTCAAGTGTAGTCAAGTCTGAGGTACTTTACTGGGAAAGAGAGATATTGGAGACATGGTGTTGCAGCAGAATACGATGCTGTACAGAGCCTGAGTCAATTTTGATAACTGGGAATTTTGTCTTCTAAGTGCACTAGAGTAATTCACTTGGCTTCTCCAAGTCAAGAATCTCCAGTCAAGAATCTACAGGGTAGAATTAGTTTGTGAAAGGATTTATTACACCTTACATCATGACCTTTCTTGTCATTCTTTCTGGCAAAAAAACACTACAAATAATTGCAACTTGGGTTAATGGAACCTTTTTGTCCCTGCCCAGCCCCTAAAAATGGAGAAATTTTGGGAAGGAGAAAATACTCCAACAACAGAAAAGTAGGACGTCAGAGAAAACCAGAGGGATGTTACTTCTGTGTGGCCACAATCTTCTGCACTGATTTTGGGTCTAAGGAACTCGAGAGCTGTGTAACCTGGTAATCATGCAGACAGAACTGTCAGGCTTTCCTGCAATCCTGGGCAGTTACGAGCTGTAGCAAAGCAGCAATTTATGGGATGCTCTGTCACTGCAGTGTAGCACTCACTGCTGCAGCCTCAGCCCTTACTTTGGGACTGATGAACTTAAATACACCCACAGAGAAAATGTTCGAAGTTACCTGGTAGCATTTGTGTAGGCAGAAGGGAATCAGTTCTTTTGCAATGAGAGAAAGCCTTACTCATTAATATAAAAGTGTTAAAATATGAGGAGTTCTTTTTTTTCCCTTTTACATAATGTTTTGACAAATCTCAAAAAAAAAGGTGAAACTATATATTGTAATCAATTCATAGATCGTTATTATTTATAGAGGGCATCATTTGTAAAACAGTTCTGCAGTATTTCTGATTTCGAGATTTCATTGAGTCATTCCTGGATGTGCAATAGATGGGTAATTCTTTATGATGTGACGTAAAATTTTCTCCATTTTGATGTCATTTTATATATTAAATAACAAGTAATATACAAATAAAGATGTTCCCACATAGCAGTGGAACGTTTGTCTCACTGCTAATGCAGCAGAGCTTTCTTTTCGAAAGAGATTTGGGGTTTTGTCATATATATTTTTGTCATATACATGTCAAATACTGCATTTGTGGAATAAATAACATACAGAATTTAGTCATCCAGCTTTTACTCAGGCAAACTTTCAGCTGATTCTGATTGAGCTGCCAGCCTTTTCTTTGATTAGAGAAGTTGAAAGACTTTAAAGTACAGATGTACAGAATGTGTAGCCTGCAGAGTCATATATAGCCTGCAAAGCAAATGCTTAATTTTGTCATGGTGCATTCCTTGGTTGGCTGGTCAGCTGAGAAACTGTGAAGCCTGCCCATACTATTTCTTGGCTCAGCCTCTGCATAATGTTTTTAGTTCACAAAACTGTTCATCCAATGAAGTCTGAAAGGGGATGGGGAGAGAGTGGAGATGCGAATCCATAGAAGAGTAAAAAGTAATTGAGAATTAAATTTAGACGTATCTTCAGTCTTTTGTTTAATACTGCATCTGGCACTGTGATGAGTTGATGCAGAAGGTTGACAGTGTGGGAGCTCATTGTGTTAGGGGGCTGTATCCCTCTCAGGTGTGGCACTTATAAAAGATTTACTGCAGTTCACAGGTATGATATAGCTCATCCCCGAAAGACATGGGTTTCACTTTGCACCATCGGTAAAGATCTGTGATGTAGGTGAACAGTTGGAGCATTGGTTGAAAGTACACACCACAGAGCCAGAAAGTGTAAATACTACTTTTTATAAAATAGCCTTTATTTTTGAAGTGGCTAGTTTAGATATCAAAGTTCTTCCGATTGTTAGCTGTATCAACTACTTACTCTTCAGAGAGCATACCCAACCCCTTGAGAAGATCAAGCGTGTAGATCAGCAGCCCAGTGTAGTGGACTATCTAAGTCTTTCCCATGTTTATTTGCCAGAGTCAAAGACAACTGGAGCAGATGTTTATGCTTTCAGAGGGCTGGCAGTAATTCTGCAATCTGCTTCCCTCTTGCAGGTTTTGTGATTTTATTTTTTGACAATGGTTTTGTTACATTGTCCCCTGTCCCAAGCTAAAACATCCCAACACACAGCACCACAGCTGCCTGCTCTGAGCCATGCTGGTCACAAACCTAGGTCACTTATTAGAAGTATAAGGGGAGGAGAGAGAAGGTTAGAGAAAAACATAAGGACCCTCAGCAACAGGAGGGCAGTAGCAAGGAAAAGGATAACTGTGTGAAAACAGAGGGAAAAAATAGCAAAGAGTACATACAATAGTTAAGAGCAAATTGAGCAACAGGAACAGAAATAAGAATGCAAGGATAAACAGGAGAGGGAAGAGAAGAAGCAGAAACAAGATGGAGGAAGAGAAAAAGGAGAGCATGGATCAAACAAGAAACAAGTGGTCCTGAAATACAATCTAAGCTTTAATTCCTAGGACACCAATTCTCTCTTCAGGCTCAAGGTTAAGAATGTAAATAATTTGTCCCATTGTGCCAGGAGAGGAAGGAAAGAAGAGGAGCTGAAGTAGATTTTTCTCATGAGTAGTCTCTACTTTTATCTTCTGTACCCAAGAGCAAAGTCACACCAGCCCTGAATTCAGAAGCTTGAATTCAGCAAGACAATAGATGGGGCCAGAGCCCAAAGCATCATCTATTTCTTTTGTGTCTCTTTAATTTCGACTTTAAGGATCTCTCCTTCTCCTGCTCTGGGGGATGGTGACATACTAATGATCAGAGACTCCTTACTGGTTCCTCTCTGCATAACTGCAGGCTTAGCATCTGCCTTTGGCTCTTTCTTTGGAGCAGGGGGTGCAGAGGGGGCTGCGGGCTTCTCAGGCATCTTCTCCTCTTCTTTAGGCTTAGTCTCTGTTTCAGCTTTAACTTCCTAGAAACAAGAAGTTTAATGTTTTCCAATACTGCAGAAGAAATTCTGGAAGTAGTTCTATTCTGTATATGCCATGGAGAGGCACAGCATGGCACTGTGATTAATGGTATGCAACATATGTAAATTTCTATTTAGATGCTTGAGAATCAGTTTCTAAATGAGAAATGTAATTTCAGAATTAGAATATCAGTGTAAAACCTAGGAAAATTTGTGGATAATGATAGTATCTGCTTCTTACTAATATAGCGGGATGAAACAGGCCCGTTTTGGGGCACAGAACCCTGATTAAGGTCTTGCCTTCCTTGCCTTCCTTTATGTACTTACACTGGTGGAGAAAGAAAAAGTGTTACGTAAATCTTGGCATACTACCCACAGCCCCAGTTCCTTGGCCAAACCTATTTGCAATTAAGTTCACAAGTAACATTAAACTGAGCAATGTTTCTACTCCAATCATAGTGTTGTAATTATTAAGTTCTTAATTTAACTTAAATAAAACTCCAGCCAGTTCAGCTATAAAGAAAAGGATTCTGTCAACTTTGGGTAAATATGTAGAACTGAGCAGGTTCTTATTAACATTAACATTTCTCAGAATATAGTATAATGTTGGAATTATTTTTTATCAGTTAAAATAACAGTTTTCTCATAAGTGCAATATATTAGAGATTTAATCAGTTTTGTCTGTGTGGGCTACGCTTTACATTTTGTCTTCAGGATTTGTAACAACCAGAGATCTGACACTGAATTCGAAAGTTCACCATGTGCCCGAGTCAGCTGGATCAGATTACTGTGTTAAGATATTTCTGTATTTACTGTTGTTTACATAAAATTAGAAGATCAGATGCCCTTGGGGCCTTGTAAGGTCTATTTTATCCTTACTTTCTTTGAGGATTTTTGTTTGCTTGCTTTTTTTTTCTCTGCTCTGCATAGAGTCCAGGTTCACAAGGATTTGAGCCAAATTTTAGAATCAGTGTTTACAGAGATTAGGAAGGTGGTTATATCTCAGCTACTGGGAGTTTTTGCTTTTGATTGCAGTATGGCTAAACTTTCATCTACTCTGTTTGCCCAAGCCCTCCCAGTATCTTTCAGCACCTGGAAGATTCTACTCTATTTTCTGTGGCTTTACCTCAGCGTCTTGTTGTCTCTTCAGCTGCAGCAGCTTAGCAAGGCCATCTTTTCCTCTGGCTCCAAGCATTGCTTTAAACAATTTTGGAGTTTCCTGTTTCTGCCCGAAGAGACCGGCCAAGCCTCGTGGTTGTTGTACTGGTGGTCCTGGAGGAGGTTTCCCCTTCTGTTTCAGCAGCACCCTGGAGATGGAGGGGAATGAGGACACAAAGCAGTGCTGTGAAAATGAGCAAAGTTCCTGCTAAGCTGAAATGCCACATTCATGCATGAAAATCTGGCAGCTTTTACAGCCAAACTCTTTTTGGTTCCCAGGTCCAGTGATAAGAGCAAAACTGGAAGTGGTAAGGGTTTTACCCCATGTTCTGGTAGAGTTGGAGGAAACTGTTCAAATTTGGAGTTGCTTATCTATATTCTGGAGAATAAACAGGTGCTGGCGCAAATTAAGGTGTCACAAAGCAGATGTGAGTTTTATAGGGAGAAAAGAGGTGTGGAGGGGGATGGGTGCCCCATACCTGGGGTGTCAGTCTCTTGCCTGGACTTCTGGATGCAAATTCAGAGAGCATTTAATGCTCCATTGGGAGTCCAGCTGACACTTGTGGAAGAAATAGTTTACCAAACTTAATTCCAGCATGTCTCATCTCTCATAGGTCAGGTTAGACAGTGATACTTATTTTTGGTCTTCTTCAGTAGAAGAAGACACCCTGAAGATATAAACGTTACTGCCAATCATATGACAAGAAGTGAGAATGAATGTCGAGGGTAAAGATTAGATGACAGATCTGAGATAGATGAAACTAGTGAAAAGCAGAGGGTTCCCCTACTTTCAGTGTCTATTAGATTACTGTACAGTTTTCAAGGCAACTTTTCTATCCTTGCAAGGCTTAAGGCTCTTTATGAACAAGGACTATACCTGCAGTCTGTAGTACAGCAAATACCATAATATTATAATTTTCTCCAACATCTTGTACTTTAGTACTTGAGTAATTTCAGAAGTGGAGCTTTTACTTTTTTTTCAGTTTTATTGTCATAAATTAAAAAAAGTACACTTCAGCAACTTGCATGGCTTTGTTATGTAAAGACGTGGGTATTGGGCAGGTGGTGACAGAACAAATTTCTTGCTTGAATAAATCTTTTGAGTTTTGAAATAAACTCAGGAGCCCTTTAAAGTTGTCAGATGGTCCCAGAGAACTCTAATGTAAACCTACCACGGCAGAGCAACTGGCAACTTCTTTCCAAAACTGAACATAACTGCAATCCTTATCAAAGCAGTGCACACATTTCCTCTTGGTGCCTAGTTTTGACAGAATTAGTAGATGCCTAGATGGCTGGGCAAAATACGTGGCCTTCAGCACAGGGCAGGTACTGCATATCTTTAAAATTAAACAGGATATCCTGTATTTAGTCTGATATCTAGAGAGGGCTGTGAGCTCAAATGGGAGTGCAGGTACAAAGGCTGGGTGATTAAGCTCTGCAGTTGAAAAAGACTATTTGGTGAAATTCTTAATGGATTGGCAAAATATGACCAGGGTGGGCAAGTAGTCAGAAGAGGTAATGTGGGGCAGAGAGACAAATAGCAAGTAATGATGGTTGTACTACTGTTTAAATAGAAGCTAGAGAAAAGTCAGGAAAGATAAGTTCTGGGGACCATCAAGCACTGGATCTGTTCCACTTTTCTACCTTTTGATGCTGGTTTTGAAAATTGGGCAATAAGCACATTCCGTGTCTAGGATCCTTGTTCCTCAGGGGCGTCATGATTCTCAAGATACTGTTGTTTGACAACCAGGGCTGTTGCAACATGCTGAATGCAGCCATCTGCTAGCACTTCCATGAAACAAAATATCCGTCCTGTGCATGTTTAGTCTTCTCTGATGAAATTTCAAGTCTGGGACCAACCTTCCAACCTTTGATAGCAATTCAAGGCAACAGTTGAGAACAATAGGAGTGCTGAAGTATACTGATGACAAACTGTTTTGAGTTTTTGGACCTTTTACAAGGTAGCAAGGTACTAATTTTGTCATAATTTTATGCTTTTGAACAAAATTCACAGCTCTCTAATCTGTGTACTCCCATCTTGTCGGGCCTTACTTTAAATCCATTCCTAACTGCTGCATAAGGTTTTGGAAATGCATACAGTTCTATGGGTGCATTGAAGCATATCTTTGTAGAATTAATTGTGTTTTATTGCACCTTTGAAAACCTACTCCTTAACTGACATCTCTTCTGCAGTTTCTTTCTTGACTATGTAAGGAGTCCTGGTATGTATCCTTATCTTCTGTTTGTTTTGTTACCTTATGTACGATGCAGAAGGCACCTACATTCAGGATTTCATTCTACTTACTACACTTACACAGCCCTTGGGATTCCTGCCAAGCCCCTGCTTTCCACTATAAAATACCAGTCAAATCTGACCTCTAAATACGAATGTGTTTACATCTCTTACTCTTCCAAGAAAGGAATTTGTCTAGAAGTCACAACTGTCCATTCTACTTAAACTAAATGATATGACTTAAAAAATGTTGTTAGGACATACTTTGCTTTCTTCATGAGGAGCTTTTCTGAGTCAGGGTAGTGCCTCAAGATTTCGTTTAGTGTTTTCTTGTCCAGAATGAAAAGGTTGGCAAAACCATGAGCCACCACATTGGCAGTCCTTCGATTTCCTCCACCTGCAGCTAGTAGGCTGGAATGAAAATAAACATCATCAGTCACATCGTTACTTGCCCTAGTGAGGAACGTCTTTGCTGGTGGTTCTCCATTAAAGTCATTGTAAAACTCACTTATGCACCTGGCTGTTCAATCTGATGTTCTGTAAAGGCCCTGTAAAATTTGGATTAGAAATGTGTTCTTGTCTCAGGAAGGCAAATTGTCACTGCCAGTCAGGTAGATGCTAAGGACTGTAAAAAGTTTTGCTACACAGAGACATTTCTGTTAAGAGACACCCACAGCAAGGACTGCACTTGCTTTAGTCCTCATGTGAACTTGGCATTTCTTCAATTTTATTGTTGAAAATTATTTACATCAGAAGTAGGCCAGCTTTATTTACAGTGAATGAATGATTCTCCAAGAATTTTATTTTTCTTGAGTAAATAATTTCTGCCAGACTCTGGTTTTCAGTTTTCTCGCATAACATATCTCATGTTTGAATGTTGGCAAGTTGAATGATACAGATTAGGAAGGTCTTTCAGACTGACAGTTACAAATGTGTCTGCCAGAAAAAGAGGGATGTTTTGCTTTGAAAGTAAGGCATTAGACCAGTTTAGCCAGCAGCAGTTGGTCATAGGAAGGATACCTAAAACAAAAAAAAATATGTCCAAATAAAAATTAAATTTTTCATCTTGCATTAAACAAATGAAGAGACTTCACCTCTTAGCTGTGGTGATAAGCAAGAGAATTTGCATTCTGCTCTTAGTACTAAAATTGCTCTATCACTGTATTCAAGATCTACCCTAAAATTTTTCCCTTAAAGATTTCCCAGTGAATTAATATTTTTAGACAACTTTTAGTATTATCTCAATTTAAAATTATTAATAAGAAATGGTCTGAGCCCCATGAAACAAGAATTTATATCTATCTAAAATATTAATCAAAGTTATATAAGTATTTGTTTTCATATTAAATATATTTCTAGAACATGTTTCTAAATATTGCATCAAACAGATAATATATTTAATTTACGAAGGACAGTAGGAGACCTCTGCAGCTGTGTGTGCAAGGCTGTTTTCACATGCACACAAAGAGTGTTTTTCTGCAAGCCAAGACAGCAATCAATATATGAACTCAAGCTGAAAATACAGTTTAATGTCTTCTCTTTAAACAATTCTGTACAATTCCTCAGATAGAATAAAACTCTTTGCATAATATGAAAAGCAACTAAAGAAAATTGCAAACAGCTTTTGAGCTCTGATGAATCATTTCTCAACAAGTCATTGAACAATCATTTTTAGGCTTTCCTAACAGAAAGCTCATTTTATCAAGGTAGATGAGGACTAAAGCGATCAGCTTTTTCATTATGGTGATGATGTGAGGTGAATTTTACAAGTAAAGTAGTCTCTGCTCAAAAAGAATCATCTTTGACTAAGGACAGTGTTATGTATGTCAGCATTGAATCTGTTTTGGTTGGTGTATGAATAGTTACATGGCTAAATATTTTAAAATAGGTACATTTACCTTGCAATAGTTCTTGGTAAAGTAATATCTATATTAATTGTGAAATTTGCTTTATTTACCTAGCGTTTTTTACTTCAGTTCTTAGCCTGAAATGCTGTAATAGTAGTATGAGTTAATAACTTTTGAATACTTAAGCTAGCAAATTAAATTTCAAGCTATAAAGTTATCAAAGTGATGACTCAGTTTATCTATTTTCTTTTTATAGCTGATCTCTGTAGGAAGCTGCTGCTCATTGAAATTAGCAAACGGATCAGGAAATGGCATGTGTTATCAGCAGAATGTGCAGGGTTGTGGTGGCTCAACCTGGCACCTCTGTGCCTGTGAAGAGAACTGGTAAGTCAGGAAAGAGGAATAGGTGTGGATCTTGCTTCCAAGCAGGATTTCAAGCTCCAAAGGGCAAACTCATTGAAAAGCAGCAGCTACTACTTCGAGGGAAATCCTGGACCAAAGTGATGGAAAATGTAATCTTTCACAGAAATAAATATTCCTGGTAGTTTTGATTTTTTAAATAAAGTTTAACATTACAAAACATCTGAAAGCTAAAGCTGAGATCAAATGTTTAGAGATCTTCCTGTCAAAAATTTACATAAGATGGAGAAATGTTCTAGTTTTTCCAGAATTACCATTTTCTGATAGGAAATAGCTCTAGTAAAATACCAGCAAATGGATGAATGAGGACATCTGGCTTAAAGTGTAACTTTCTCTGGGCTAATGAAGTGTTGTTATAACTGAATTTCTCTCTTTCTGAATTGTGTGTGCTGACAGGCTCTCATTAAGGCAACAATCTGTTTGCTTCTGATTCTGAAATTATTTTACTTCCCCAAACTGATATCTATGCAGGGAAGTAGTAATGAGGGTAGGATGTTAATTGGAACTCCTATTACTTAATCTCTTTCTGTAATAATTTTCAAGGACGAAATTGGCAAAGGACATGTTTGATTATTAGTCTTCCATTGGCCGTCTAGTATAATTCAGGGAATTTTTTTGAAATACACAGTTTTTATTTTCTTCAATTCCTTTGCCACTGGAGACTTTTTAAGCATCATTTACATGCATTTTTAACAGAGTGAGATTAAATAGCAAGTGTTTTATCAATCATATACTTAAACCACTCAGAAAGAAGCTGATGTATTTCTCTAAACAAATCTTGAATTGGAAATCAGAAGGAAATCAGCCTGATATCAGGTTATAACCACACTATGAAGTGAGGGGAAAATTTCTATGTCCTAAGTAAGTGTTTCTTCCATTAAAAAAATATTTTTTTCCATTTTCTTCTGGTATTCTGTATTCAGAAGACCTTGACAAAACTCACATAGAAAGGCACAATACAAACTCATTATTTTCTAGTGTTTTGCCATAAGGAAGAGTATATCTCTACCAATTCACTTAGTGCTTCATTTCTTCCGGTTACTGTGGTTTTTCTCCTCAAGTTTATCCATTGCCTGACATTTTATATGCAAATTACATGTGTCTGAATGGGTTTACTGCTGCAGTAGGTCAGTGATGAATAAAACAAGACTAGAAGTGTAGCTAATGGCATTGCTGAGGGTTTTCCTGGACATATTGGCAATTATGTAAAGAGTAACAGATACTGGGAAATCAATCTTTAAAAGGTGTTGTGTGGTTTTCACATGGAAACAAGCACTCACCTGTATCGGATCAAAAGTGTGAAAATCCCTTCCTTGTTTTAAAACCAATCATTATAATTTCTCAGTTTAAAATATAACGTTCTCACTCCATGTATGTGTTACATATTGGGGCTGCTTTAGTTTTTTCTTTTGTCTTTTCATTATTTAGCCCTTAGTGGTGATGATTTCATTCTCAACCTTTCCACATAATTTACAATACAGCCTTTTGTTTGGAGGCTTTGCTCAGGTAGTATATTGTCACACAGAGAAATAATAACCTCCAGAAAAACTTCTTTCAAAGAGCTGATATAATTTCACTTTCCAACTCAATGAAAAAGTTCTGTATCTATTGGATATATCAGATGTTTTCTATTTGAGGTCTATGCAAGTTCTGTACACACATCACTGGATAAACAGGAATGTTTCCCCTACTACAAACAGAGACACAAGTAGAAGACAAATGTAAACCTGACACAGAGCTGATTACTGCTTTTCAAAAAGCAGATTAAACCTACCAGCAAGAGGATTAACAGTAACAGGAAAGCAGCTGCAAGAAACCAAGGATCCAGTTTATCACATGTGGCAGCACATGTATTTTATTAGTTTTCCTCAGGCCAACCTCAGCAGGGGAGTGCAGTGCCTGAAAACTAGCACTTGATTGGCTCATTGGGGAACACAGCACATAAGAGTTAATGGATTTTGCATAGCAAGCACATGGAGAATATAAAAACCATTTGTAACCACCAGAAAAAAATTATCTCCTCCAGATAAACTCAGACAAAAAAAAATATGGTCTATCAGTTTTTTTCTTGTGTTGTATGCTCTTAAATAAATATTTTTTTCAAATTAGGATGCCTGATTTTCATCAATTTAATCCCTACTTCAGCTCTAAATGAACTATTTTTATTTGCTATTTTAGGTTTTTTTATCGATTTTGTTGGAGATTAATTTTCATCTTTGCCTTCTGCTGTTTAAGGGCACCTCGGCTCACTACACAGGCGATAAAATGCATTTGGTCCTTCTGTATTGCAGACAGTGTAACAGGGAGATGGGTCGAATCTTTAAAATGCCAAAGAAGAAATTTGTCTGTATATCTCTGGGTACATTGACCAAAACATTGGTCTCAGATCTTGCTGTATTTATTACTTATGCTTTGCTTAGATTTTCCTTCACTTACCTGCATCTCCTTGCTCAGTGTTCTCTTTGTTGATCCTACTTACTTTTGAGCCTCTCTATGGTATCTGTCATGCTTACCACAGAGAAGTTAAGCAACCATTGATTATTTGACCAGTTCCAAAGAAAGTATTAAAAACAGTGATGAACCTACCTGATCTCCCCAAATACAGCTCCTGCTCTTAATGTAACCAGGACTTTTGTACCATCAGGACCTCCAAGGACTTGAACTTCACCCTGTTTGATGATGTACATCTCTCTGCCAATCTCTCCCTGGGCACACAAACACATAAAGAACCCATGTTTTAGCAGTGTTTTTTGTTGTTAGAATAGAATGACAGTTTCCAGGTTTACCAATATTATGAGGCAAAGCAGCAATTTCATTTTAAGAATCAAAAGGCTGCAACAATGTAGCCAGGACTGAAAATGTAGGGACTTGCACTTCCTGTCTCTTCACTTGGCCCTCCAAGCCTGCATGCAGCATCTCCTTGGTAGAGTAGGATGAGATGCAACATGCATCCAAGTGGGAGGTGGTTCCAATAGGGTTTTATTCCCTACTATGTGTGTAAAATTTGAGAGCACATTTGTTATTACACAGAATTACTTTTATGCTGTCTTAATTCAGTTAGGATTCATTTTATTTAAAGGACATTGTTGACCAATATATGAACTCTTTTTCTAAAATACGTAATATAATTATTATTTCAACAAGACAAAAATGCTTACCTTTTTGCAGACAAAGTCACCAGGTAAATATACAATGGATTTCAACCTTAGCAGCATGTCATATATCATCTGGGTATCACAGCCCTGTTAAAATAGTTAGAGTTGATTGCTCTGTTAATTCAGTAGCAAAAGTGACTATTAGTGCTTACACTGGCTTCAAATCCCAATAATACAGGAATGACTAAGGGATTAATAAGTGGAATGCAAACTCAAATCATCATAAAGATCACCTATTAGAGCTGAGAAAAGACTGAGAGTTGTTATTTCAAATACTTATGAAGTTCTCTATGGCTGGAACATCTTTTCATTTTTTTACAAAGTGAGCTTCTGTACATCCAGATATGCTGTGGAAGCTCAGTTAGTGTTATGATCAGAGCTTTATGGGTCTGTTATGGGAATCTTATGGTAATTTTATTTTTTACTGATCCCGGGGAAATGATCACGTCAAATGTTGGTATAAATCTGTGAATTCCATGTCTTCAGGAAATGTGGAAAAACCATACAGCCATGTAACATTTATACAGATATTTCATGTGATTTCTTAAAAATATCCTAACAAGCAAATTTCCTGTATGTCAAGACTACTTCTAAAAATTCAGAGTCTTCTTAGTTTTGTCTCAGAAAGCCAATTTTAAGTACACATTTAAATTTTAGCTCTGGAAAACTACCATGATAAATAAAGAGAAAGCTCCTTTGCACAAAAACTGACTAAAATGCAGCATTCACTACATGAAAGTTATGTTGCCAGAACACATAGCATGGGAGGTCTTTCAGGCAGACCTGGACAGCATACAGCAAGGTGAAATGTGCTAAAAATTAGATTATTCTATGTCTGACTCTTCAGATTAATTAACTCACAGTCTGACCATACCATCAGCTTTAATATGTTGTCATAACAGGACTGTGTCTTAATCTCATTTGCTTTTTTTAAAAATCACTGCCTTGACAAAAAAAACACATTCAAATGCAGGCACTTGGCTTTATTAGCCATTAATTGAGACATTTCTTAGACTTCTTTTGCCTTGCATATTTACGAACATGTCCTTAAGTATTGCAAGATGCACAGAACAAGGTCTCTGTCTCAGGAATACCACATATTTCTGCATTCTCCTGTAAAATTACTTGCTTTAAATAAGTCCACTTTATTGACAATGGCAAAGTTCACATCAATTGCAATGGCTAATTGCATTCTTGTTGGCATCTGCTCCAGTAATTCTGATTCATCTGAAAAAAAAAAAAGGAAGAATGGAAGAATGTCCATAAAAATGAACTTTGTACAGAAAAATAACTTAATGGAGCTATTTATGAGTTCACATGAGGAAGCTGCTAATAGGTTTTTACTAAGATGTTTAATATATCTTGTCTAAAATTATTACCAGAACGTTATATTAATGAATTGAATTTGTGAAGTAGTAAGTGTCATATTGCTTTGTAGTTTCTTTTTTTTTCCAAAGTAAGTTGAGTAGCCTCCTCTCACTTCCCACATGCAATTCAGAAAAGGAGAAATGTGAATTTTACCCTGTATCTGTATCTATACACTTTCACTTGGACGTGCTAAGTAACTGGAATTGTAAATCCTTACCCAGCATTCCCTGAGAGTCCCATGTGTATTCATACCAAGTTCGAACACGATTTTGGACCAGTCTTGGAATAGAATAAGTGTTCATATAGGAGACAGTGTTATCCACACAGGAACGAAAGTAGTTCTGTCCTGCTGTTGCTGCTCCAATTACATCTCTCATCTGCAAACATCAATTGTTGTTACACATTTCAGCAAAAATAGTCTTGATTTTAATATCTTGCCAACAACATATAAAAGTAATGAAACACTTGTTTGCAAAATCACTGAATAATAATACATTCAGCTGCATGTTTTGAATAGGTGCTTCATCCTCTCTTTCAGAAGCATTACAGATTTAATCTGATTGTGTTGGAAAGTGTAATTATGGTTTTAGAGGAATCATTTCTGGGGTTTAGCTTATTCTCCTGTCTCATATTTCTGGACATGGATGAAAATTATAGATAATGCTTTTCTTAAAAATCCATAATAAAGCTATTCTGCATTTGGCATGCAATGCAAGTCAGAAGTGAAGCAAACTGGACTGAATTTCTCTAATAACATCATCTGACACCACTAGAACTGAGATTGTGCCACTGTTTAAATAGTTAAGAGATCAATCCTAAGTACTGTGAGCTGAAAGCTGACCTAAAAGTTTTTAGTGCAGGAACATTATTTAACATTTCAACACAAATGTAATTCAGTTTTTAGAAAGTGGATGATTTAGTGTTCATAGATATTCCTTCTTCAAGAGCTGAAGTATTTAAATGTGTTTTTAGTGGAATGGCTTCATCTGGCAGCTGCCAAGGATTAGCGTCAAGGATTCAGCCATGGGCTGAATTTTGCTCTTTATTACAAGGAGGCATTTGATTGCAATGGGAATAACAATGTTTAAGCAAGTGTGCTAAACCAGGAATAACTCAGTTATTTTAAGAGCTCTTTGTAAACAGGAACTATAACAAACAAACTGCAATGAAGTAATTTGTGTGTTAAGCTTTAAAGTTTGAGTCTGAAATGACTACACTGGTTGCAAAAACTAATCTGCAAAATCTTCTTAGGGAATGAGGCTTTCATTGGCAATTACAAAAATTTAGGAAACAATTATAAATGTGAAAACTCTGAAGTTTAATTCTATGTACTTGTTTTCCAGAAGAAATATTTTATATGAATTCTTTCTTGTATTTTTGGTAATTCTTGTTTGTGGATGAATTTAAAATCCTATAGGCAAGAGTCTCTTTTGTGACAGTTACTTCTTACACTTCTTAAGAGCAAGAGACATATGCAATTTTTAACTGTTTGATTGAATTTTTCAAATACTGTATTAAAAATAAAAATTAAATTTCAGGGCTTTGGGTTTTTTTTGATAATTCTTTAAATAACAGGCATGTACAAATCAAAAAGTCTGGAATGATTTCTACAGAAACTGATAAGACACAATCTCACATAGGAACCACCGCATTTGTTTTTCTGTAAGCAGGGTATTTTAAAACCTGTGGATTTAAAACTGGAAGTATTTGGAAATATAACTGAATTCCTATGCTATGGTCCTTTTTTTACCCTCCTGCCAAATGAGAACTAAGAGAAATAGAAACCAGTTAATTTTCAGATTAACATATATATTATAATTTGTGGAAGTGACCAGAATTCTAGTTCGGAAAAAATCATGGGATTTCCATTAACAGTATTCTATTGGTAGTAGTACTGAACGTGACTTATTCAACAACTATAATTTTTATATCAGATTTAACAGTATAACACGAATGTCAAGGAACCATCTCCTTGGCTGTGAGTAAGTAAAAAAAAGGAATTATAAATTGTTTCAAGAATCATCTGTGTCCTGCAGAGTCTTGGCTTTAAATCAGCTTTTGTGCAAAATAGCTACAAAACCGGTAACTGATTAAACACATCTATTTGTCAGAAGAATAAGTAGGGATGACAGTAGAATAGACGATGGAAGCTAAACTTTTTCCCAGAACTAAACTCTGTTAAATTGTATATATTATCACTATGTTGTGGTAATTTGAACGTAACTTGTTATGGATTTTTTTTTTTTATGTACCTGACCAATTAAGCTGGAGAAGACAAAGACACCCATGAAATAATTCAGCAGTTGAAAAATTATCTCAAACAGCGTTTGTGGTTCTGCCAGGCCACCGATGGTGATTAAACTGCGAACCGCCCAGTAGTAACACCTCAGATACCTGTGGATACAAACAGCACTTTTGTTAGAAACTGTAGGTACTTATGTAGTTGAAGTTAAACATATACCTGACTGAGTTGGGCCTTTCAGTGATGCTTTTCAGTCCAAGAGACTTTCAGCATTTTTATAAAGAGTTATGAATTTACAAATGCTACAGTTACATAAATTAAGTTGAGCTGAATGTTCTCACTGACAGCAAAATAAGAATATATGGGAAATGCAGTACTTGCTTACTGTTTTCTAGTAACTCTATGTAGTGTTACAGATGACTCATGTAAAAAATTGCCAAGATGGACATTACAGTGTTAGGATGCTACCGGTGAAGATGTCATGATGTTAAAAACAGTGTAAAAATGTTAGAGACTTCCCAGAATCTCTCTGTAGCAGTATACTAGATGCTCAGACATCTGAAGGTCTCTTTCATGGCTTTCACTTGATGATACCAGTAGGAATTTGTGGGAATGACAAATGCAGTGTTCTTCTTGTGTCCATTCCTACCTCTTTAACCATGCTGGTCTTCCTCCCACTCTGCTTCTGAGCAGCCTTTATTGGCTCTACCTCCTGGGTTATGTCAAACAGAAGTTACATCTTTCTACAAGCTGTGTGTTTATCCAGCTTCTCCAAACCACTTCACTTATTCAGCATTGAAAGGTTGATTCCTGTATTGTCTCCTAGTTGCTGGTCTTCACTCCTCCTTCTGTCACCTTAACAAACCCTTTCTTGCCTTCTCCACTACTTTCCCTCCTGCCAGGGGAGACCTGTCCATTAATGGCTACAAAACCACTTTAAGACTTTTATCAGAATTTTCTTGACCTAGAATCCAAACAAATACAGTAGTAAGCAGTGGTCAGTCACTAAGACTCTGCTTCAATGAATAGCTTATATTAACTCCTTCACAGTATCCATCTGCTGTCTGTTACTTTTCATACCTGAAGTGTGAGCTGTGTGGACAAAATTTTTTGTTCTGTTTGTACAGCCCTCTTTGTACAGCCTTCACGACAGAGCCTATTGCATTCAAGTCAAATATTTCTATTAGTATGATAACACAAGTTTGTGAAAGCAACAAAGGATGTGGACAGAATGTTTTGGAAAAGTGCCTTGGCATCTCTAAAATTCTGGTTTAAATTTCATTCTAGAACATGGTACGACAAGTAATGCAAATCATTGTCAGAAGTATGCTATCATTTTCTTCTTTTCTGAGCAAACAAGTCTTGGTTTAGGTATACTTTTAAAAACCTCCTACTAATTAGAAGCTAACTTCCTACATTTCTGTACAATCAGATTTCAGCTTCACTGATGATTAGGAGTGGAAGTTCATTTTCCTTAATTGTACAGTGAGATTTTCTATTATTTCAGCTATGACTATTGCTTTTGAAGCAGTGGTGACTCCTTCTATTTGTTGAATTTTATTGAGTTTGAAATAATAATTAAAAAAACAAACAGAAACCTCCCAAACACTAAAACACAGAAAAAATACTTCTGGGGATGTTAATTTTGAAATAGAAATTCTAGCACGCATCTTCTTATGCTTACTTGAATCTGAGGCCACCTGATCTGCTTGCAGACCTCAGGTGTACATTTTATTTCTTTCTTTCTACTTTTAAACTCCTGTCTTGCTAAGATATGAACTCCACTACTATTAATCAGTGGTTCCTGTGATAATACAAATGTAGAGCTTGTTTTGTGCAAATATGAGAAAATAATCTCACAACCAATTCCAATGAGGGTTTTTTAATTTAAATTACTCGAAAGTCTTTCCAAGTTTTTCACCTAAAATTTGCTATACCAAGTGATTGATTTCTGCTTTTCGTTACCAAGGCATTTTTTTCTTGGTTGCAGATTAGTGAAATGCAGTAACAATGATCATATTTACCATAGTTTTCTAGTTTTAGATTTTAACAGCCAGAACTGGCCATTTTCATTTAGAGTCCTTAAATTAAAAAATTCATTTTTTATTTGCTGCCATATCATTTTTCTATGTAAGGGCTGCAAAATGAACCTCTGGCTTACACTGCTATAATATTTTCACCTGGGTTAAAAAAAAATAATCAAATATGCATGTTTCCAGCAAGTATGCATAAGTTGCAGCTTTATCCTTGAGTTCTGTAGCATAAAAAATAGTAAGAAAAAGATGCAGATCTGTTTTGGAAGAATGATATATTTAAGTATAAAATGATGCCTCTAGTTTGGCTAATAAATAATAATGGCCAGTCTTCGCGAACGAAGATTTTGGGAAAGGTCTTTTACCTTTCCAGCCTGCGCAATGGATTTTTTTAGGTGAGACACAGCGTGTGCTGAACTGAGCCCACCCTTTAATCCTAAGGTTCATCTGCCGGGGCCAAGCGAGCTTGGACAATGGCAGTGAGGTCCTCAGGACGTAGGTTTGTTTAGAGTGACCTTCTCATAGATGGATGGCCTCACAGGGCTAACGAGCTCCATCTGCCCGAGGGACTGGGATTCAAACCCGGGTCGCAGCGGTGAGAGTCCCGCATGCTAACCACTAGGCCACCAGGAGTCCCTAGTTTGGCTAATAGGAATTACAATATAAGGCATATTAATATGATATTTGTTTGCCATAACTGAGAATGCTGTAGTGCTTGAAACATGTATAATTTAGTAATATAAAAGTAAAGAAATTAACATTACTTCTGTTCTAGTTACTATAGGAAACAAAAGTAATTAACAAACTCCTTCACCCACAACAGCTTTGCATGCTAAGCTTGCTGACTCCACCATGACAGACAATATAATCTTCTTTCTGGGAATGTCTGCACAGAATGAAAGCAGCTCCTCAGAGGAATTTTTCTTTGCAGTGTTGTATATACAAAACGTGAGACATTTTTTTGATATCTGCCTACTCCTTTCTGAAGATGTAGTTAATACACTATATTCTTCTTTAATTTTACTTAAAAAGAAACCTTCTACTGGCAAAGTCACATGATATTCACTATCTCTTAGGGACAGGTTTTCTCCATTTATGCATTTTTGGTTTTATTTTAATCTGAAAGTTACACAGTTGAAATACAGAGCAGCTTGCTCTCTTCTCTAATAAAGGGAGAAATGAGATTGTAAATTTTGTTTAAGGAAAGCCAGGAAAAACAGACTCCTATTTCAACAGTATTAGCAGCTCTGCTTCCTACTAGCTTGTGTCTGGAAACCATCACCGTTCACCATACAGCTTACTGGCCTGCTATAAATTTACTGTTGAAGCAAACAACATGAGACAAGAAAGGGATTTTTCCCTCTGCTCATCATAGATAATATGTTTATCCTTCAGGCAATCAAACTATTAGATTTTTCCTTAAAAGAAGTCCAAGGTATGAAAACATTCAGGAACACTGCAAATCAGTTACCTTATAATATTATGCCAATAGAAATATCTTTTTCATAAAAGTCCATTTTAAAGTACACTAAACTTCTTACATGGTTTTGGTTAATGTGGGTAAATCAAGTCTTTGTGCACGTGGCTCTCAGTTTTTAAGGTTGTATTTACATACTCATTTTAGCCCAGGGAAGCATTATTTCAGGGCTATCACATTTGACCCTCTCACATTACAATCAAAGTGGGTTTAAGCAAAGAAGTGGTCTTTATAAACTGGTAATCTAATGACCTCCTTGGTACCTCTTTTTCTAGAGTGATGTGCTCATCAGGTAGCTGTGGGTATGATGATCTCAAACAGAATGGAGTAAACTAGAAAGCTTTTACCTAAAATATATGGCTGCAGGTAGCAGGTCTGAAAGCATTGGGTGTGATATATGAGTTGGGCTGTGCATTCACAGCTTGTCTGGAAGCACAAAACTGCCTTTGTATAGCAAGTGCTGTGATTGTGACACAACAGACCTATTGCAAGAGCAATGTACAGCCGATACCCATGAGACACATTTTAAGATTTGCCAGTCTCACTGCTCATTGGACAATGCATACTAAAGAAGTGGAAGTTGTTCTAGACACCTACAGTGACCATTTTCTGGGACTTACAGATGTCCACTAAGTCTGTGCCCAGAGCAGGAGGGCAGTAAGCTACAGAGGAACATAATTGAGGTGCAAATAGATGTCTGAAAGAATTTTGCAGATTGCTTGTGGATGACTTGCAAACAGCAGAAGTATACCATGAAGAAAATGAAATTATTTGTTTTGCCTAAATTTACTGCTGACTTGGAGGGTTTGCATGAGAATTTCACCTCCCTAGTTTTAGTTTCTCTATGGACAGTGATGAAAGAGATACTTCCTTTGGACAATTCAGAACAATGACATTATGTTCCTGCCTTGAATCCTTTTCTAAAGGATTTGTCCATTTTCCTCAGGAATTAGGGATATTGATCTCTTACTTAGGTAGTTAAATTAGATTGTAAATAAACTCATACAGTTCAAATTCTCCACTTAATTAAGAGGCCTTTTCAATATCATGCTGCTGTGCCTACATAGACTCTACGCTATGGTGCTGCATTAGTGATGCTGCACTTCTGCATTAGGAGAGGGTGAGGTCTGTCTGCCTAATTATATCAAGCTCATGAGTGCACTTTTAATGCTGGGAACACCTTGTGTGACTGATTTGGGTGTGTTGCAGAGAAGTAAAGTAAAGACTGCCTTTTGCACCTCAGGCTGTGACTGGAGGCTGTCCTGCAAAAAAGCTCTAGTCTTCTTGAATTGACACTAACACTTTGGAACCTGGACAAGAACTGGAAAAGAATAGAGATAGCAGAGATTTGCAAAAGAGCTATTTTGATAATTTTTCTCATGGTTTGAGTGTGTATACAGTTGTTAGTTATGGATTTAATTAATCAGTTAGTATGGCTGCTCAATAACATATATATAATCAAATTGATAAAGGAATCTTTTGCCTCTTTATTCTTTTTAGCCTGGAAAAAAAAAGTGTCCTAGAAGTGTTGACATTTTTAAGAACTGGTTTTGGCCATAACTAGCAATATTTTATGGGCACAGCAGGGATTCTTCATAAAACATTAATGCCACTAAATGAGTGCCAGATCATTTGCTTTGGGTCAGTGTGAGACCACTAGAATTTTGGTTTATTTGTCAAACTACTTACTGTCATTTTTTAAAATTAGCTAGGCAGCTATGTTTGCCTAATCTTCTTTCTGAATGTGTTCCCATTCTTTGTGAGACTATTTTGCTTCAAATATTGTCAACCCTGAATGCTATGTGAAAGGAAATTATGTTGTGTCATAATATATGCTGCAGCACTGGTCAATTTTCATGACAGATTTTCCCCATACTGTTCTTAAATCCTGCTCTCCAAATAAATGAATACCTAGATACCTGGAAGTATCTTATTTGATAGGTTTGAGTTCAGATTGCATCTCCAATTGTAACTAATGTTCACATAGTGCCTCTCTGTCAAAAATCCCCAAATATTTGACAATTGGATAATACATCATGCCTGATTCTCTAAGGCAATGACTATTCCATACAGAAGGTGTTTGCTGTTAGTGGGATACAAAGCTATACTTTATTAAATGCAGCTCAGCCTGGGTTCTTTGGGGTTCCATGTACATGGCATCTGTGTGAGTTAGATACTGGCAAAAGAATAAAGTCATAAATTCACCAAGCAATGTCAAGATGAGGTAAATTATTGGCTTAATGAGGTTTACATGGATATATGATAGAATCATAGGATCATTGAATGGTTTGGGTTGGAAGGGACCAACACCCCTGCCATGGACAAGGACACCAACCACTAGAACAGATTTCACTCAGACTCCCATCGAACCTGGCCTCTCTGGGCAACCTGTTCCAGTACATCACCACCATTTTAGTAAGGAACTTCTCCCTAATATCTAATCCAAACTTTCCCTCTTTCAGTTTAAAGCCATCCCCCTTGTCCTATCTCTACATGCCCTTGTAAAAAAGTCCCTCTGTAGCTTTCTTGTAGGCCCTTTTAGGTACTGGAAGGCTGCTGTAAGGTCTCCCCAGAACCTTCTCTTCTCTAGGCTGAACAGTCCCAAATTTCTCAACCTGTCTTCAAAGGAGAGGTGCTCCAGCCCTGTGGTTAACTTAGTAGCTCTCCTCTGGACTCGTTCCAATAGGTCAACAGCTTTCTTGTGTTAAGATATATGCATATCCTAATACGTATTTTATTTAAGCATCTCAATTTAATGCAGATTTGAATTACCAGTTTATTATTATTGTTTATAAAATAAATCTGCCCTAAATTCCATGTGAATTCAGTGTGACTTCATTTGAGAAATGTTTTTGTCTCCTCATGGAAGAGATATCACAAAATATTAAAAAACCTGGCCATTGCCTCTAGGTACAAATGCATTGTCTGTGATCAAACTAGTAAATAATTTCTACCAATTGTTTCTCTGAGTGAAATGCCAAAGATTTTTGCCTGTGAAAACCAGGAAGACTTTCTTTCCTGTTTCCTAGACTTTTTTGAAGAAGCATTAAAAAACTTGAAGACCAAGTAAACTCTACTTTCAGAATTTTCAGGTTTTTTTAGTCTTACTTACCTTATTTTTAATCATGAGGCAAATATTCCCAACAATGACATTAACAAAAATAGCTATAATGGAAATTAGTTTTGCATTTTTCTTGTCAGATTTCTGGAAGCCTTGATCCTGCGAATAAATACCTGTCTGTAACTTCATTTACATAAGTGGTCCCACTGAGCTCCGTGACCCTGCTTTCAAATGCCCACTGAAGCTGTGTATTTTAGTGGTGTGTGGAAACTTCAGACACGTAATTTTTGTTGAGAGATAACCCTGATTATAAAAAAATCAGTGCTGCTTTATACAAAGTGTGTTTTGCTTTCAAAGCCTCTTATCCCTCAAGATAGTGACCACATTAAACTTGTGAAGTCTGAAAAAACAGCAGACAGGAGCACATCTCCAAGAAAAAGGTGAAAAGTTCCTTAAAAGGAGGTTTATGACAGCGGTAAGATATGTGGTTTTGCAAAGAATGTAATTAATGAACAAACTGGTCTTCTGTGGCTTCATATTATGGCCTTTGAAATAAATAAATGTTCATAGAACTGATCTGATGAGATATGTTTTTATAAAACTACACACAAAATATATTATGACTTTGCTATTTTCTCTTAGTTCCTCTTAATCATCTTAATAAATGTTCCTTACTTGGTGCCCAACCTAGTGTTCTCATAAGGAGAAAAGTGTGCCAATATCCAGTCCTTCCCACTGGTAACACTCTGCCACATTTTTAAGCATGATCTTCCCAAAAGATGAGAGAAAGTTGGTGGAATTTTTTCAGACCAATCACTACAGCCTAGAGGGACTAAAATACTGCACTTTAGTGGTACAATGCTGCGTGGCAGCAAAAAAACCCACTAAACTATTCCTCTCTTTCCTTTGAGGGATTGCTATATAATCCTTTGAATGGTTCCCATGTGATATGCAATCAGTAAGTTTAATTTATGACCCTTGTTACTTTCTAAATGTTTAATTAAGTTGGTGCTTTACACTGACTCATAAACCTATAAAAGCTGAAAGTGGTAAATTGATTATTCACTGCACCTGGCCTCCCAATATGTTTGTAATGAAAGCTGCTAATCAGCAGTCATGGTGCTAAAAGTTTGCTATTCAAGTACTTGTAAAGTAAGGGCATACCCTGCAAGCAAAGGCTTGGGAAAAGGAGGGGGAGGCAGGAAGGAGCAAAATTAACAGAAATCTCTTGCAAGAAAAAAGGACTTACATGTTTCCTTCACCATCGTACACCCATCTAGTGCTGCCAAGTCCTTCATAGTCTGAAGCCCAATAATACAGGCATGCATTAATGTGTAAGATAAACAGCAAGTATCCAGTTGTTCGAATGACCCTATAAAAGTCAACAGATTCCTGTAAAACAACTTACATTTTTCCTTCCTTTTAATATAGAACCCATTCCTTTTTTGCATCAACAATGTTAATATTAAGTGTCTACTGGATAGTTCCCCATCTATATTGATTCTATGAAAAAAATAGCTGGCAGTTACCCATCACTCACGTTTGTCCAAGATCAAATAAATATCTTTCCTAGAATATTTGACATGGGGTAACTGTTAAATTATGGTTCCCTGAGGAGTTTATAATCAACTTCTTTAAATGGCTATGAATATTTACAGAAACTTGAAGCTACATTAATGAGGCTAGAGGGTATAAACTAATGCGTTTGACAAACTCTCTTCAAGATAGGCTCTAAACTTGAGAACCAAAGCCGAGAAATGTCTGAGGTCAGAAATGAACTGCTTTGCAAGAGCTGTGCTAGGAAACCTGCAGTAGATTCTCTCAAATTTGGTGTTTACAGCAGGAGTTACATTACTCCTAATTCCAGTTCTTATGCTTATGGCCAGTTCTTTGAAGAATACCAATGATGAACTACTTAAGCACCAAGCAGCTTTCTGTTTAATACAATAATGATCTCATTGTATATCCTCTGTTCAGTGAATGGGGATCAAAAGAAAGATCTTCTGGATTTAAGTCTCCATTCAAATATTCATACAAGCAGGGGATAAATAAGCAGGGAAAGTACAGGACTTGCCTAAACATGGAGAAGCTGGTATGTAATTAGTTTATCTGTTACAGCTAGGATTCAATGCAATATGGAGTGCAGAATAACTGAGTATGTGGTTTTATGAAAATTTAATAAGATCTAAATATGTTTGGTCTATAAACCAAGTTAATGGGAGATAATATCAACCATTACTGTGGTTGGTTCTGTATTATGCACTCCTTTGCTGGTTCTTCAGGTGCCATTGCATGCCCTCCTTGACCTCTCCGTGCCATTAAGCAATCTACTTAAGTGTCCTCTTCTTCTTTGTGATGCTGACAAATAAATGCCACTTCTCTGTTTAAAAGTTGGTGTGCTTCCAGGACAGCTCTGTTTAGGATCGCAAGCTATTGAGAACAGCAGATAGCTGTTGTGATCTAGTAATATTGCAATATTGACCATACAAGGTCTTGTGTACAAATTTGAATCTATTCAAGTGGACTTCTCAGATCTGAGTGAAGATTCTGGAAGTCTTTGCTACAATATATTTTATATTTCTCTAGACACATATTGAATCTATCACAATGGGTAGATAAAATGTAAGTAACTTTTGCCAGCTCTATTACTACAAACTCAAACTAATTAGTTTGAATCCACCCACGCACATACACTTGTTGTGTAGAAGTTTAGTTTGATATTATTTAGTTAATTGGTGACTTATTGCTCAAATTATGACTATACCAGGATCTCAGACCAAAGCAACATTGCTACATTAAAATAAAATGCAGTAGTTTGCACAAAAAGCCTGACTTTTTAGCTCCCACTTATGTTCTTCTGTATAACTACCCCTGTTCTCCATTTGCCAATGAGCAAAACCAGGAGTTGGTGTTTTCTGGAGTGTGAGCTAGAAAATAGATTCACTTTGTATTACTTAGATTCCAGAATTTACATTCTGCAAGTGATTTAATACTGGAAAATCTAAGTGGGCCTGGGACCAGGAAGCAAAGACACCAGAAGCAACACAGTTGAGGAAACTCAACCAGTATCACCCTAAAGAAATGTCTAATAAGGCAAAGAGCTTTGCAGAGTAGCTGGTTCTGTCTTTCCATCTACTGTATATATTTCACAGGGCCAGTGAGATCTTGCTCACATCCCTTTCTCAACTTCTCCTCTGAACAATCATTTCCCGTTCCATACTTTTATATAGTGTGAAACTCTGTCCCTTGTAAAGCTGTTTATTTTAGTGAAAATGAGTTTGCAAATTTGTTCCCATTTCTTTGAAATCCATGTAGACACAACAATATTGTTCTATACAAACTAGTTACTTTATCCAGAATTATCTGTATAAAAACTTTATCTCCCAGTACTCACTGGAAACGTTATAGGAGATATAGAAAAGTAATTGAGTTATTACTCCAAAATGCAAAAGACATAATATGGAAAATACTTAATTAATTTAAAAACAATTACCTTTAAAACTTATCAAAATTAGAAAAAGTTAAAAACTATAAGCAGAAGAAAGCCCATTCTTTTTAATGAAATTAGAAAATGGAGAAGATAGAGAGGTGATGATTCAGACACTGACATCTGTGGAAATTCAGAAAAATCCTCTCTTGAAGCAACAAGAATTAAAAAAAAGAGAAAATAAAAGAAACCCAACCAAACCACAAAAGAGTCTTCGATAACTGAAAAGAGAGGGCATTATATAAGACTATAAGTCTATATTCTTAGTTAAGAATAAACTTTATGAAGGTCAGCATCTCAAAAATAGTTTTATAGAACTTTCAAACTTCTGTTTTATTTCACAGGTACATGAAAATATGAAAGAGATGATGTTTCAAACTCCTTTTCATATTTAACTAGTTTTAAAATCTCCTAAAACATCTCATTTAAATGTATAAATATCAAGTGTACCATTAAGTGCAATGATCTCTGAAATAGTAATAATATAATAATGGCCAGTCTTCGCGAACGAAGATCTGGGGAAAGGTCTTTTACCTTTCCAGCCTGCGCAATGGATTTTTTAGGTGAGACACAGCCTGCGCTGAACTGAGCCCACCCTTTAATCCTAAGGTTCATCTGCCGGGGCCAAGCAAGCTTGGACAATGGCAGTGAGGTCCTCAGGACGTAGGTTTGTTTAGAGTGACCTTCTCATAGATGGATGGCCTCACAGGGCTAACGGGTTCCATCTGCCCGGGAGGGACTGGGAATCGAACCCGGGTCGCAGCAGTGAGAGTCCTGCATGCTAACCACTAGGCCACCAGGGGTCTCTTCTCTGAAATAGAGTAAGATGGTAAAAAACATATTCTTGTTTCTGCAGCAGCAACACAGAGGAACAACACATGGCCCAAAACTGGGACAGAGAAAAGAATCTATTGATGTAGAAATTGCACAAGATAAACTAGGGCTGATGGCATTGACAGTAGATGACAATAATGGCGGCAGAGTAGATGGGTTCATTGGGTCTTAGCAGCATCAGTGACAGCTGAGGGGCCTATGAAACTTGCCATAACTATGTCCATGGACTGCTTGAGTTGCATCCAAAATTCTTCCTGTCAATGCAGAAAGTGAGAACACAGTTCAGCAGACATCATTTATAATCACTATTTGAGAATTGTGCTGAGTTGGTTCTCATTCCAAATGTAGTCAATGCAGTGAAGGATCAAGTTTCCGTACATGCCAGGTTCATAGGGAGAGCATGTTTGAAGAAAAATGTTGACACAGGCTCAAGCTCATAGCTCTTATTAAGTACAAATAAACAGCTACTGAGGATTTGGAACTGCTACTAGCAACCTAAAGAAACTTCTTTAGCTCTTTCACTAAAGAAACTTCTTTCTGATACTTTTGATCAATTAAATTTTGGCAGGAGCCTCAGTTTGGTAAATATTTTGCCTGAACCAGGCCAACTGAACTGAGCTAGATTTCATATGTGAGTGAAGCCTTACATATATTATTTTAAAGATTACAATAAAGACATATTTTGAAAAACCTAAATTGAACAGTTGAAGACATATCATATTCCATCCAGCGCTTAACTGACAACTCATAAAATCATGTGATTTGGATCATATGAAGTGGATTCTGTGCCCAACTCTGCATGCTACTCAAGTTTATCAGCACATACCTGTAGATGTATGCTTTTTCCATAATAGCTTCCAAACGATCATTAAACTCAAAGAATGTGTTATGCTGAATGGGAAAAAAATGAAAGCAATCCAATCACTGTTCTTGAGTACACATCTTTTTATAATAGTACAGACATTAGTTCACATACACATTTTGAAAATGGATTTTTCAATAATCAAGCTTTCTTTAAACATTGTCCTGGTTCCAGCTAGGACAGGATTAATTTTTGCAGTAGCCAGGAGGGGACATGGCTAGGACCCAGAGGTTATTCTGTATCACCTCACCTCATTTGCTGGGGGTGGGGGAAAGGGGGTCCATTCCGGAGAGAAGCGGTTCCTTCTGATTGAGCAAATGTGGGGGGGGGAGCTGTGTGGTATTGTCTATTAATCGAGGAGTTTTACCGTGTGAATAATTTCTCTCTTATATCTTTTGTTATTAATATTGTGGCTGTTGCTGTTCATTTTCTTATCTCATTTTTTCCAGTAAATTGTTCTTATCTCAACATGTGATCTTTGTGTTTTGTACCTCCAGTTGGAGGGGGGGAGCAGTGTATGGTTTTTAGTGGGAGTACTAAATTGAAGAATACCATTCCTAAACCATGAAAAACATTTAACTAGACACTGAACTGAAAAGCAAAGATAAAAGTTGAGTTAAATAGTTTTTTGGGTGTTAAGTGTCCCATTAATCTGACTACAGAAATAACCTTGCTGATTTGGTCAGACTGCTGCAGATAAAATGACTTCTACTTCCTCGAATGTATATAATTGCTTGGACAACTTGATCACAGAGAATTATATGCATTAACCCTCCTTTTTTCTTTTTCTGAAATTCCAGTAATTCTCCAGTAAGCGACCATATGTATCAACAGCCATATACTAGATGATTCTATGTGGTATCAACTGCAGCTCTATCAAATTCTTCCTATTAAGTATTTGTCCTTGAACTTTAGTGATAGCTTTTAGTACTTGTATAATTGTATATAGATTTTTCTTTGTTCAATACACATCTGTTTGCCTAATATGAGGTCCTATTTAACTTTTCATTCTTTCATATTATTTCGCTTACGATTTACGGAATGTTGAAATTTTGTTGAATATTGAAGTGAAGAACACCCTCATTTTATTCTCAGAGTTCTTGTGTCTCCCCCCCAATGTTAAATGAAAGATGATTCTTTGTCAACATATTGATTGTATGAAGGGGAATGTATTTAGCTGCGGAGAAGCCTGCTATGTATCATGCTCTAATCCCTTTGCAGACCCTTCATTACACAATTCCAGGTGTCTTTGGGCTCAATAAAAAAAGTGGGTTTATGCTTGATAAATATTCTGTGCATAGTTTATATTGTCCTTAAAATTCCTTCCTTTGCTTTTGAACACCGGTCATAAGCAACAGAAGAGGAAAAATCATTGGCAATAATTAGTGATTTTTTTTTAATCTTTGAAAACTAAACAGGTAATTTGAGATAAATTTCATTTAAATTATGTAAAAAAATCAGCTTTAATTACAAAATACCTTTTGAAAGTTGGAATTAAAAGCTGGAAGAAAAGTAAGAGAATAAACACTTAATTTGGCTAGACTATAGCTTGTATTTTTTGTTGGTTTATTTACTGATATTCTACCTTAGCCTGAAGATATTTTACAATTTCTAAATTTCATATTCCTAAATATTATAAAAAACTTTCTGTTGAGTTGCAAAACATTAATGCATGGTTAGCCATCCATCACTAACACAGACCTTACCTTTAGCATCCTGTTTACTCTAAGTGCTGGATTAAATCCAAAGAAGAAGTATAAAATGTCAAATGGCAATACTGATATCACGTCAAGCTGTTGAAGAGCAGAGAGGTCAATTTAAACTTGATAGTAATCATCATGCATTTATTTGCTGTCAAAAACTTGCTTAGATTGAATCATGACTGCAATAATATTTGAAGAGTCAGCATGCTAAACATATAGCTTCCCAAAGCACTGACAGGCAAGATTATCTCTTTGAAAACACCAACAGCTTTTCCCTGCTTTTAAGTTCTTGTGCTTGAGATTTTAATCTGTCTCGTGGGGATTATTAATAGTATATCATATATTTGATTATTAGTACATACTGTTATTTCAATTGTAGTTCTGATAAAACTAAAATGTCAGGCATGTGGCTGATGAGCGGAGGTGGGGAGACCACTCCACAAGCACTTCTTAAAAGTCCTTCAGCTTCTAAAACCAGACTGCCTAAAGCAATCTGAGGGAGCACAAAGAACTTTGTATTGATATCAGTAACACGGGGCCTACTTACCTGAAACTTCACAGTGCTGTGGTAGAATTTTTTCGTTTCCACTTTGTCTATCTACAGTGATAATGAAGGGAGAAAAAGACAAAGTCAAGAACAGAATGTCAAGAATTAGCCTCTGCTACTCGGCAATAATAATTATCTACCAATGATGACAGTTAAATTAATGATAGTCTAAAAGTATGAATGGCGGGAGAAGTAGTACTTTTATTGGTCCAGTTTACAATAGATCAGATTTTATTAGAACTATTTGAAAAAATGAGGCTTGGGATTTGTCTGATTTTTTCCAATCTGTTCCTTACATTTTTTTTCCCACAAAACTTCCCTCTCAAGACATCTATACCATTTAATGCTTGACCCAAACCCCTTCAATTTCAGGGTGAAAAACTGCATTTATCTGCAGTGATTCCAAGAAAAATGCAAAGAGTGTTTCTGATGGTGTTGTACAAAATTAGCTCTTGAAAAGCTAGCATTAACATGCTAGCATTATTAGCATTATAATAATCATCATTGCATTCATTAGCAATGATTAGCTATTTACTTTTAATCTGTTCTTCATGGGAACTGAGGCTAATACCTTAATAAGAAAGGGTAATCACAAGTATCTAAAGAAATTTATCTATTTTTATACTTTCTGTATTTATATCAGAGACACTTTAAAAAGAACTTTAAAATCTTAAACATATTTTCATGCCAACTTTCACTATTATCAGTTTAAGCATTAAACTAAATGTAGGAGATCAAGCAGTAGATGATCTCTTTGTGTGCTAAAATCTATGAATTGTAGAAACAGCTTCAAGGGAAATACAATGTAAGCTTCCTATGTTAGAGTTTTAACTTTGCTCATAAAAATTGAGTTTTGTGGGATTTAGGCAAGATTGCCAGTTGCTGAATGTCTTGGTCTGGAAACTACATTACACTGCACTGCATTTAATATCTATTCAAATTATATTTGCACAGCTTTATCTGTAAAGGTATCATTAATATTGTGTATGTACAATGTATAAAATTTTACGTAAAAGCACTGTTAAAGCTAGTTCCAAATTACATTTGAGGACATATAATTTTGAATTCTCTGTCTGTTGGACACAGTAATGTCATGCTGATGTTATGAAAACTAATTTTTTTTTCCTGAAATAGTTTTTTTCTATAAGAAGTTAGACAATCAAATGCAAGGAAGATTTTAAAGAAAAGTTAATATTCTAGATGTCCTTTTGGTATGTTAAGGTCAAACTTTCACCCCCTTTCAGATAGTCGCTTAAAATTTTATTTTGGATTTTTCTATAAAATGATAAATCAAAAACAGTAACAAGAATTAAAATTGAATGTACATATTTTCCAAAAAGATAATATCTCAAATAAATTATTTTCAAAGTATCCTAAAAATTAAATGGTTTGCTCTGATTTTAGAAAAAAATAAACCCACAATCTCACAGTCTTTTACAAAACATGCTATCCTGTCCAACCCTAGCAGAATATGTGCTGTCTTCAACTATGATTCTGGTATAAGGGGAATAGAAAGGTCAAACTTTCACACAAACATACAAGCAGATGTATATATGCATGAGTACATGTGATATAATTACTGATTCAAGCAAAACTTCACTAATTTACTCCTTTTGAGGGCTGTATGCTTGTTTCAACTGCTCTCATCTGTTACTTTCAAATCTGTTTTTTCTATTTTTAAGAATGTAGGCAATGGTAATGTTTTTTCCCCCATGGAAGAATGGAAGGTCAGTGAAGAAGAATATATGTAAACAAAAAAGTTACATAGATTTGACATAGTGAGAAGAAAAAGTGTCAGATTGGAGGAATTTCTATATTCTACTTTAACACACATCTACTACCTATGGAAATCCCACCTCCAGTACTTACTATTATGTCTCCCCCTCTTATAAATCGCACTCGGGGCTGGAAAATCAGTAAGTCACAGAGGTAGCAGATATCACAAATGACATCAATGGTAAACCAGTATATTGTGTTACTTGGGGTTTGATATGGGAACACATAGCGAAGGGGAATAAACCAGCAATTCCAATTATAGGCGATTGTCACAAGCATGAGCCATCCTACGTAACGGCGATCTGAAAGATAAAACATTGAACTTACAGGCATGAACTTAGAGTCTATTGTCATTCTTTTAGACACATTTACTCTATTGCAGTCTCTCGGAATGATTCTGTCCAGAGCAACCTAGCATTCTCCCTTTTTCAAGGCTACGCACTGCTAAAGTGATATAGATGGAACTAGGAGTCACATAAAGAATTTGCAAATAGGAAAAAAGTCGAGGTAGTGAGAGCATACAGAATTTTATGCATCTGAAGAAACTTCATACTATCATTTTGCATGCTGTTCATGTGTGTTATAACTGACAAAAGAATTGTTTGGCCCTAACGAATGGTACAAATTCTAGATCAAGAAACTTGAATTCTAATTGTGATTGGTTTGCATACCATCTTTGTGCATACCATCTTTACAACTGGTGTCACTTTCCATGTCTTTTTCCTGTTTGGAAAGTTGTTGTTTAGGGCAGGACCCCTGCATCTCTCTGAGATGCAGACTGGAATGTGCATCTTATGGTGGCTCACAGGTACTATGTAACACCAGGTCACTTCAATACGTCTTTACCCCATTCTATTGCATAGCTTCGAATTTACCTGTGTATGAGTCTATGGTCTCTGGTAGCTGCAGATGCTCCATGTATTTTTTCAGTGGGGGTTTTTTGAATTTACAGCACAACATATCGCAGTAATGATCCTCCTCTGGCTTGGCTTCTGCCTCCTCTTTCTTTTCTTCTTTTTTCTCTTCTTTTTTTTCTTCTTTCGGTGGGGGTGGTTTCTTTGGTGCTAGACACATAGGATGCCACAAAGGGTGGCATTTTAATAATGGCTCAAAAACCACACACTGTTTTAACATGAACAAGAACTTCATCATGTAAAAATCTCTTCTAAAAACACTGAGCAATGACTAAAATTACAGTTTATTATACTAAATGCATTAGCAAAAGAATTAGAGAATAAAATCACTACTGGCATAAACGTGCATTTGCTATCATGAACAGGGCACTTGCATTACAGAGTATAATATCTGTATTGCTCTATTTCCCTGAACAAAAGTTATGCCTTTTATAAGACTTGCAAGAAAAGGTTAATTCATAATTCAGTATTCATTAATGCAACTGGGCATTTCTCTTTCCATGACTGTTGCAAAGAACGCATGCAGCGAGAATGGAGATAGGAAAAGACACCTGTGCCATGGGCTGATCTCTCCCCTCTCCTGAGACCGGATATACAAGACACAGTAGGTGAAACTACTGGGAAGCCTATGGTTTTGCATATTTCTAGGCTTATAAAAGTCTTGTGGCACTCCTTTGAGCCCACTTCTTTCTTCTTTGGGGTGGATGATGTTGTCCACACATGTATGCTGTTAATTCTGGTTAGGATACACATGCTTAACAGTAAACTGGCAAACTATGTCTGTAATAATTTAGGAAATAAATGATTTTAAGTTCTACAAAGAGAACAAATGAGGTGAATGAGCAAAGAAATAATTAAAAAGGATTCCTTTATCAGTTGGTATTATTTATAGTTCTTCAGGTACTGTTTTTTACAGTTTTTTAAAAAGCACATAAGCTATAAAGAGCTTCTAAAAAGTTTCAGAACATAAAATCACCACACTCAATTCTTTGTGAAAAGGAAAAAAAAAGTCAGACTTTCCTCTGAAGAGGAAAAGTATTGATTTGTTTTATGTTTCATATTTTGTAAAAAATCAATTATTAATTAACATCAGCTGAGTTTGATCCATTCAAAGCCTGGACTTAAAGTCCTCAATGTGTCCAGAAGATTGCTGTTAAGGGTAAGATTTTTATTTACTTTATTTACACAGCAGATCTCATATCATAGTGACTAATATCCACTCATAATATGTGTATGTTTCTTCATATGTCTCTGATTCATCTCCATGAATAAACATATTTGGGAGCTATTTTAAAATACAGAGAGCTTCTTGACAGGGATGATTCTAGGTATTGCCTCTGTAAGTTTTTTTCCCAAATTCTTTAGTGATGGAGTTCAAAGGGAGCTTGTACCTTGGGACCTGGCTTATTGTAGAGAACTATGGATAAATTGAATTCAGTGGGCACAAACTGATCCTTTTCAGTGCATAAATACACTATACTTACAAAAAATTAATCACAGTATTTTCTGTTCCCACAAAATAATTTTCAGGTTTTAAGGTCAACAAATTCACAGCTATTTTGAGAGTCACTTACAAGCTGTAGGACTGCCTTCAGGTGAAGACAGCACTGGGTCGTTCAGTTTTTCCTTATACACATCCGCCCTTTCTCGCATTTTTTTGATAATCTCTTGAAGCTGAGCCTCAGCATACTCATTTCTTTGGAAACCTGAAGGTGTTGGCTTCTGTGTGCTAATTAAAACAAAAAGAAAAAAAGCTTTGTGTACTGGAAATCAATGGAAGGAAACAACTCTAATTCTATTTCTGAGCTGAAGTCAGACATTTAGATCTTTACTGAGCACAGTGCTTTTTCACATCACTTAATTCATCCTAAGAGGAAACTTAAGTTAGCCGCTCTTGCTTTCTGCTTATGCCAGCAGCAGTTTATGTATTATTTCATGCAGAGGAGATCAGGGTACCCTGTATAGCCCACTACATTAATGACTTCCCGCTGCTGCTTTTCACCAAGTTCTACTGTGGCTATGTAAAGCCTAGAGCTAATCTGATGTATTCACTAAGTGAAAAGGCATGCTTTTCCCATCTGTGCATAAAAATGTGCTCGTTATTGTATGGTAATATCCTAATGATGACAGGAGATGACTAAGCTAAAGACTGAAATGGAGGTGGGGGGGAGAGACTATGCTTAATTGATGTTTCCTAATATTGGGAAAATTGATTTCATCTAGGTTTTTTATGGTTTGTTATGGCTAACATGAGGTAAAAAAGTGCATCTGTTTTCAGTGAAAACAAAACACTGGTGTTCTTCCTGAGGTTTCTTCCTTTTTGTGCTAGTGGCTTTCTCTGGGTCATAGTAACATTGATATTCCAGCATTCACAGCATTTCTTCAAACCTGAGGACTGTTGATTTTCAAACACCTGCAAAATCATAATCTGCACTGAAACAAATGTTTTCTTTAGGATTTGTGCATGCTGGACAGTCAAATAGAAAGTGATTCTTGATCAACTCATTTGGGCTTATTCATATTTGAAATTTCATCCTCAATTACTTGCTACAGTGTGATTATGCAAACTGGGGATGCTTTGGAGTGTCACTCAGCTGGCAACTGGCCACACATTTGGACTTCCTCTATGTGGAGACCAGGATATGGGATTTTTTTCTGTACCTTGACTCAATACTTCTCAGCTGATATGACACACTGAGGTCAGAGCTGAGTGGAAATGGCTGTGACTGGTACAGGACAGCTCAAGGCCTCCTCCCACACAGGTCACAATTGCTACCTCTGTACCAAAACCCTGAAATCTATGCCCAATACAGGGATTATAGCAGAGAATTGTTCCTTTTTGTCTTAACAGTTTTTCAGTTGTGTCCCAAATGCCATGGGGATGTGGATGTTACAGCAAGAGAAGAGGCAGCCAGGAGTGAATTATGCTTGAAATGACCAGATTCTTGAGAAAATCTTCCCAAAGGTGAGTAGAGGGAAAGTGGTATCAGAGCACCTTGGGTAGAGAAGAAATGAAAACCACTCCAAAGTGATCTTTGAATAAACACCATATCTCCTCAAGACCTAAAACTATTTTGAGGTTCCTAACAGAAGGAGCTGTAACTAAAAAAGGACAGTGTCAGAGTGGGATGTGTGTAACTTTTTGAGCAGCACAGTTTTCTGGAGACACAACACACATCATGATGTCCAAGAAAGTATAATTTAAGCATGTGAAAATCCTTCAGCAATAAAACCATTGGATAAAGTGGAGATATGCTGTAAAAGTAGCAGAAGAAGCAGAAGTTTGGAATTATATGTTTGTCATTCTTCTAATTTAAGTCTAGTGTAGTGTCTATTTCTTAAAACTCCCCAGACGAGATTAATCAAAGCAGTTCTGATACATTTTGCAACCTCATCACAGTTCCTTTTGTGTCACCTATTTCCTTTGCTCAGGCCATCTGCAATGTAATGAAATCCGTTCTTGTTTTGAGCTAACATGTCACAATTAATTTTTTGGCTTCTATGCAAAGAATTTAAAATAATACTTAGTCTTCGCTGTTGCTATACTTACTCAGGGCATTAGCTATCTTGGAGTTAAATACACTTATCACAAGTGTCATGCCAAAGGCCCCTTCTATCTGCTTTTTAGGCACCTATAAATTGCATGATATTTTCTTCTTATTTCACAGAATTTCCAACAAAATTTAAAGTCTCCTCTATCAAGAATTTGATGCTATATCTTTGCAGTGTAGTGCAGAGGAACCATTTTTCTATTGGTACTGATTAGAATCTATGTGACTTAGTGTATCAGGGGTTAATTACGCTGATACTTTTGGTCTGTGTTTGGCCCCGTCACCTGCGAAAGTTTTGCTCTTTCCCTGCCAAGTTATGGGAAAACAAGCACTGATAAACGGGAAAGCTGTCGTTGAAGAGAGCTTCTTGTAAAAACTGTTTTTAATTGGTATTCTGTAATTGGCTAATTGTCCTCCAAGGTCGCTTGAAGGAGAGATTGAGGAGGAGGAGGATGAAGGCTCGACCCCTGACTCAATTAGAAAAGACCCCCAAAGCATACTGCGCGTGCGTGAGGGGATTTCCGAAGTTCTCATGCATGTGCAGAAGAGATGCACTTACGTAACCAGGGGGTGGGACTGAGGGCCTCTGGCTGGGCGGTGCTGGCCACACCTGGGAGGTTGTGGTCACTCAATTAATTGTATAAAAACAGATAGCTCTTTCTTGGAGGAGCTAGCTTCACACCAAGGACAATGTTGCCTTTTGGCAGGGACACCTGCCAGTTTGTGAACTTACTGACTCTCCAAGGATGCAGCTTCTGCTATGGGTAATTATAGGCATACTAGGTCAGTAAGATAACTTTATGGGCAACAGCTGGGTAACTGGGGAGGTCATGCTGGGGGCTTATTTCTCTCCTCCTTCCTCCCTTTTGTGTTTGTTCGTTTTGTTGGCCATCTCTTGGTAATAAATATTGGTTTTTGTAGAGCTCTCAAAGGTGTCGTGGTTTTCAAGATTCAGTATGGTCCAAACCCTCCCTAATACACTTCTTTTAAAGCTATTCGTCCCACAGTTGATGAGAAACTGATTTTCCTTGCCCTACTTCTCATTTGGCTTGCATTGCCTCCTCCTCTATTTTTCTCTAGTAACGAAATGCTTACTTTAAATTTTCTCTTGTTAATACAGATGGAAGAGGCTGCATGTTGAACACAGCTAATTTGAAGATGTTTATGTACATTCACTTTACGTGGAGGTGTACTTTAAATTGCCTTGGCTAATGAAGCCCATTCAAACTTCACTAAATCGCTTCTAATAAACTTGACTACTGGTCTTGCATCAGGTGGTGCTAGGATTTGTCTCCAAGTTGTTATTCTTTAAGCAAATTTATCCCTGACCTTTGTGTAATATGTTACAGTAGGCCTGGGTCTATATTACTTACTGCACCATATAGTCCTTTACAGAGTGGAAATGTTTATTCCCTGAGGAAGTAATAGTTACATGTGGCCTAGGAAATGAAAGTCAGGACCATAACTCATGCACTAGGCACACATTCTTGTTATTACCTGAAATATTTTGTTTAACAATAGCAATATATACAACATGAGAACTATAATAATGATGTAGTTTTCTGATATTTTTCATTTGTAGGTTTTATTTTTTTAACTTGTAGGCTTAGACTTGATTGTTTAGTGAATAAAATAACAGTGACTTAATTCTCTCCATGCCACAAGAAAAGATTTAGACACCTAGTGAAAGAATATGGACTTGAAACAGACTATGGAAATACTGTGTTAATTGTGCTAATGTATGCAACAGCTGTTAAGTACTGTGACTTGAAAGTTTTCTGTGTTGAGAGTTCAAATAAACAGTGATAAAGAAATGCAATACTTATTTCAGAATAAATGAGGTTTACCCTCTTCTAAGTTGCAATCTAGAGTTTAATCCCTTCTTGCTTTTAGGCCATGAACACTAAATACCCGAGTTTGATTCAACCTTTTGTATAGTAGGAAACCCCCGAGAAAATGTGTTTCATAAATGTATGCTGCTGTCTGAAAAAAGTCTATACCACTTTTTGCTGATTTCCATTATAACCCTTTTTTTTTCTTTTTTCTTTTTTTTTTTTTGCAGCACTTAAGAAACTTTGTCCTAACTACATGGAAATAGAGTTCTTGATCTTGCAATGGAGCTTTTAATGCTTTTATTGAGCAATGACATTGTGATTTATGGTTTTTATTTATGACCTGTGTCTTGAAAAAAATTATTTGTTTTTCTGAATAAATTGTGGATAATCTCTGATTCAGAAAATCAGTTTTCAAAAGGATGTGACAATGCATAGCTATACAGATGTCCACAAAACATGATGGTATGGCTGAGAAAGATTTCAGTGAGATGGAAAAATGTAGTTCCAGGCATTGAGAAATGTCTTGGTTCAAAAACATATCCTCAATTTGTGCTGACAATCCCATAGTAATGCCATAGAAACCAGAGCTCTCTATGTGCCCCGAGTTCCAAGCCTAAGTTCACACATTCTAAATTGCTAGAAAACCTAGCAGTAGAAGAATAACATGTCACTCATTGTTTTGGTATAGGAACAGAGGTATTCCAAAAAGCTAACTATTTTGATTATACTCCCTTCATATTCAATGGAAGGCTTCCCTGAGGAAAGGTTCAGAATGACTGAGACAAGTTTCTGCTGTGAATTGCCTGCAAAAGGAGCCCATTCTTCTGCTTTTCCTGCACAGGAAGCTCATGGAGTTTAGAAGTGAGCTTTAATATTTTCTTTCATGATATCGGTACAAAACGTAGCTGTGTACTAATGATGTTTCATAGGACATTGAATTTGGAGGATGAAAAAGCAGGAATGATTCCTGTACCGGAAAATTTGTCTGGTAAAAAGTCTAAGTAATAGAAATGCGAATGTATCTAATGCTCCATACTGCAGACATGTACTTAAAATCAAATTGTAAGGATTTCTTCTGTAGATGCTGGGATCATCAGATGTAGATGACAAAAGGATAAATATCAGAGTGTTTAGTCAACAGCAAGATGCCTATGAGACCTATGTAATCTGGCTATGAAAAACACAGGTGCAAATGTAACTCTAGAATGCATATGACATACTGCCAGGGAATGAAGCATTAATATTGGGATATAAGCCAATGTGAGAGTTATTCTGACAGCTATATTCAAAAGGTGAATTCAAGTAGGAGACTCTATATAGTCTCTTAGAATGGCCAAGGCTGTTGGGAATGTGGCTTTAAAAATGACAGCAAACCAGACTGAGAGGCAGCAGAATCATTGTCTATAAATTCAAATTTTGGTGGAGAACTATGTAGGGAAAAGAAGTATTTGAGCTGCAGAACAGTAAGAAGAATATCGTAAGAAGAAAAAATGTGAATAGAAACACAATGAATTAGTCTTGAAACAAGCATCTTCCTTTGACCCATCATCTCTTCCTTTAGTCACAGAATCATCAAGGTTGGAAGATACCTTCAAGATCACCGAGTCCAACAGTCAACCAAGCACCACCATAATCATTCCTAAACTATATCCCCAAGTACCGCATCCAGATGCCTCTTGAACACTTACAGAGATGGTCACTCCACCACTTCCCTGGGCAACTTATTCCAATGCCTGAACACTCTTTCAGTGAATTTCTTTTTCTAATATCTAATCTGAACCTCCCCTGACAAGGGAAAATGTTTGAGAGAGACCCATCTTTAGTGATACAGAAGATTATGTCTTTCTCTATTTGCTGTATGTTTTGAAATACTGGCATTATATTAAATTTTCTTTGCAACAAAAAAAGAATTAATTACATTTTTATTTTAATTTTATTTTAGGACTGAGTTATTCTTCACAATGAAATTTGATTTTAAACTGATGTTACTTTTGTCCTACTATGTATTTTCTTACATATTTCATTAATGTAAACATAGTGATATCATAATATTTGGGTTGGTTTTGGTTTTTCTTACATATATAAGCAAGAATGGGTCATAAGCATTTATAAGCTTCATGTGGACAACATGTAAATAGACTTTCCATTGAAATGCATGATTTTCCCTTAGTTCAGAGTCTGTACAGAAATCATGCTTGTTTGGGTGCTAAGTACCTGTTCTTGAAATAAAATGGAGACACTGTCCATTTCCCAGGTCTCATGTTGTATTCATAAAGCAAAACAGTTATGGAAACAACATTGTTTAAGGAAGGTACTGTCTATCAGAATTATTTACTGGTATTGGACTCAGAATAAACTTCCTGATGGAGTAAAGTCTGAAATCTAATAATCTAGGCTGCATGAGATTCCTCCTGTTTAGTTCAAAGATTTGTCACAACAGCTTCTTTGACAATCATCCTAGTTATTATGTCACAAGAGTCTGTGAATCCTCTAATCTTCTTTACCCTTCTCTCTCAGGAGAAGTCTGTCTCAATATTGAACACTCACTGAGGTACCAGATTAAAATCTGAATAAGATTTTATTTTAATTAACAATTCTGCAGTAGGAACTATGCAAAGAAAGTAGTATGAATGTTGAAGGTATCAATTAGTTATGAAAAAATCACCTTTCTTTAAGGCAACTGGTGATGTAAAGTTGTGTAATTGCACTAGATTTTTACTATGATGTAAAAAATCATAATTTCTAATACTAATTGCTTTAGAACAAAGGTATAATATTCTAAGGAAGTCATTGGGTCTTTCTTATCTGTAAGTAAATAAATCTATCTGGGATATCTTCCACTTATCAGGAATTTTTAAAGATATTGCTTATCATATACAGAGTGTTTGTTACATTCAAACACATTTAAATGTGAATTCATAACTTATTTACATAAGCATGTAATAATTTATGCCTACCTAAAAAAATGTCTTAGAGCATGATCCAGTGCTGCACAGAGCTCATGAGCAGCACAGCACAAATCCTTCTTCCAATTTTCTATTCTCCAGTTTTTATTAATACGCAGGGAACTAAAAGCTAAAATTAAAACACC